CCATCAGCATGGCACATCTTGACTTGACAACATTTTCTCACTTTTTCTTGCAAAAACATTTTAGATCCATCAAATTGTAAGGCATCTCCTGTGCACAGCCCGCTTCAGGTCACCCCACAGATTTTTAGTTGGATTCAGGTCTGGGCTCTGGCTAGGCCATTCAAAAACATTGATCTTCTTTTGGTTAAGCCATTCCTTTGTTGATGTATGCATTGGGTCATTGTCCTGCTAATCTTCAGCTTACTAGCTGCACTAAATGTTTTGCACTAAAATCGACTGGAATTTGTAGGTATTCATGATTCCCTCCACCTTGATAAAAGCCCCCATTCTAGCTGAAGAAAAGCAGCCCTAAAGCATGATGCTGCCACCACCATGCTTCACCATGGGTATGGTGTTCTTTTAGCGATGTGCTTTTTTTTGCACTGAACATACCTTTTGGAATTGGTCTCATCAGACAATAACACATTTTGCCACATAGTTTGGGGTGATTTAGTTGAACTTGGATGTTTTTTTTTGTGAGAATGAGCTCCCATCTAACCACCCTACCCCATAGCCCAGACATGAACAATATGAGAAATTGTTATCACATGCAGAGAGTAATCAGTACTTGTCAGATAATCCTGAAGATCCTTTAATGTTGCCATAGGTCACTTGGCAGCCTCCGTGGTAAGGTTTTGTCTTGTCCTTTTATAAATTTTGTTCCATGATACTAATGTTTTGGAAAAAAAATTTTGTACCTCTCTTCTGATCGATACCTTTTGAAAAAGTGTATCTGGTCTTTATTTGTGCTTAATCAGAATAATTTCATTGATGACAGCTGTATGATAATTACTTTTGATAATTACATGGTTTCTGACATGATTTATCTTCGTTTCATTTTTTTTACATCACAAAAACCTGCCATTTTAACAGGAGTGTGTCGAATTTTTTCAGAATTGACCCTGATTAATGCATAGTGCATTTTATTTGTATTTAGTACATTTTAGGGTATAGGTGGTATACATTATTTTGAACCACGGGTAAGTAGTTATGATTACATGTTCATGAGCCTGCTCATTCTCATGAAAAATCTGTAGGAACAATGACAGTGTTGATAACGCATTTTATATGGATGAAACTGTAAAATAGTTTAAAGTGTAGTATTCATAGATGTGTGTAGTATTTAAATGCAGCAATATGTAAAGTGTACACTGAGACTGTTCAGTTAACAAATAGTTTTAACTTTGTTAACAAAGTATGAAAACTAGAAAGTAGTAGGAAACATTTAGTAGTAGATAGTAGAGAGAAACATTTGAGTGCACTAAACTATAAAATTTGATACTTCTTGTGACTTCATTAAAGGCAGCAGAGCTTTAGCCAATTCCACTATGGAGCCAGCGGGCACCATGTCCTCAGATCCCTTCATTTAGCTAAGTACAGCAATTAGGCTAATAACTTACATATGCTTTATGCTTGCAGGTTACAGTAATACATTTTGTCCATATGAGATACAGCATCAGATCAGTAACATGAGCAAATGTAATTATCTGCATGAACAATATTACAAAAGCACTGGGACCAGGGGCTGGTCTTATTTAATCATTTATCCAATGTAACTGATACAAACAGGATTATACTAGTGGTACTACTCATCCTATTATTCATACATTATCTATAACTGAGACTAATACTATATATCTCAGCAGAATCTAATGGATTTCTCCCTCAGTCGGAGTTGTGGCCCTTGAAATCTACGTACCTTCATTCTCTGTTCTTAGGATTTGAATTTGTTGATGCAAGAAAAACTTCTGAAAAATATTTTACAAATACACTGAATCATGTATACATTAAAGTCCAAATACATAATGATCTTGTTCTTATGCTCACCTCCATTATTTTAACCCACCCTTGATTACACAGATCATCATTGGTACTTTGATATTGTACAGTATCTCATGCATTTACAAACAAATTAAGTTGTTAAAAAAAAAAAAAAGGGAATATTATTCCACCATCTAAACTTAACTTGACAGATCATAATTTTTCATACAAATTAAGCTGTGCGAAATGTTATGAATTTGAAGTGAAACCATGCTGGAAACTACTGCTTTCTGTTGGAGTCATAATTGTGAAAGCGCATAGTTTGAGGATAATTAGACCGAATTGCATTAGTATTCCATAACCAATTACATAAAAAAACAATTTGTGGTGGTTGTCTGGCTATCATATGCTGTGGTGTTTTATAAACCATTGATGAAAGGATTAAATCACTCATTAAATGTTCATCTATCAGATTGAAAGTGACATTACCCGTCTTATCCGCTGTCATTTAGAGATTGGCAGGAAAACTCCATCTACTCAGAAAAAGCATCACATAACACTGTATTACATACACACCTTGATTTATGGGAGTTCCTTTTGGCCCTTTCTGTTCGTTTACTGCGTTATCACAGCCGTCTCAATCTTCTGTCTTCCATCACCAGTGATCTCTGTTGTGACTTTGCTCCTATGGTATCATTTGTGTAATTCAGTCTTAAGGGTTTCCATGTGTAAATCTTGCTTGCTGCATACCACCATCTGTCAGTGCTTTTTTTCCCAGAGCCTTTCACTGACTTGCTTTCTCCATTTACTCTTCAAGCTGTCCTTGTACAGCAGCCATATTTGAGGTTTGAGCAGCAGGGCCAGAGAGGCAGTGTGTGGCTTTACTAGCAAGGCAGGCTTTTTGTGAATCACATGAAAAGCTTCTCTGAATTCAGCTGTCTTAGTTGAATCAGTTGGTCTACAGAATGGGATTAGCCTTGTTCAAATCTCAGGTCGCGTATAGGTAGCTGCTGCTGCAAACATGCTTACATGTGCTTATGAGATACAGTGTCTAATATTATCACAGTTGTGCCTTGTGTGTCTCCGTAACTCATTTAATATCTCTTTCATCCAGGTGTAGAAGTTCATTTGTTACATTTTGCACAAGTTACATTTGTGTAGGTTTAGGTATGTTCTTGTGGGCTGGTGTTACTTTTTTTTATTTATTTTTTTGTTTTTTTTTGTTTTTTAGCGGAAGCTGTTGAAACTACATGTTCATTAAAATACCTAATCTCAATCTTTGGACCAAATTACATTCTCTATGATGTGTGTGTGTGTGTGTGTTTACATACCAGCCACTTTATTAGGAACACCTTACTAATACAGTGTAGGACCCTCCCATATCCCCCTTTTTCTCACACCATTCTGTGTAAACGCTACAGAATATTGAGTAAGAAAATCCCAGGACCTCAGCAGTTTCTGAAAATTCTCAAACCAGCCCACCTGGCACCAACAACCATGCCATGGACAAAGTCACTGAGATCACATTGTTGATGTTTGATGTGAACATTAACTGAAGCTCTTGATCTGTATCTACATGACTTATGCATTGTTCCTGTAGGTGTTCCTAATAAAGTGGCCAGTGAATGTATATTTGCGCCTTAAGCAGCCAATCACATTAATGCTATTAGGTACTGTAGAATGCACAAAACGATCTTCTCCTTTAAATATAGACCTAATTATGAAATTAGAAATAATCCAAAAGTAATCAGGCTAGATTACACTTGGGTAATTCAACCTATCACATTAGCAAATCATTTACATGCAATATGAATTCCGTCCCTGATTACATTTATAAGAAATGTTAATGAGACTGGTGAAAGGCCACTTTTTATATTTATGTCTGTCTTAATATGTTAATTAGTTGGCTTAATTAATACACCTCCTACTCCCAAACCTACAGGAGACTGATACATATTTAGTAGTCAGTATCATTTTTCTAGGCACTATTTTAATACAAAGGATTTCATACATTTTAAGCTATTTGTAACCACATGATACACAAAAATGTTGCTGACTTAATTCTACAGTTATTAAAAGGCTTTTGACTGATCAGACAATGGGATATTTAATGTCACGAGTATTTAAGTGTTTCCACAATTTGGAAATGATGGATTTCTGTGATATCTGGTCATCTCACTGCTCAGAATCCTTGATGCTGTTTCTGCAAAAACAAGAAGTATGGATTTTATGTTTTTAAACGACCATTAGTTAATAAACATACAGTTCTCCAACTTATAAATTATTACTTTATATAAATGGAGCATGGAGAAATATACTTTCTGGTTTCAGCAGCATACTAGAATACCTGATATAAACACAGTTAAATTAATTAATTAAATAATAAGTTTTTACAGCGTCCATATTTCTAGAATTGCAAAGCTAAACAGTTTTCTTTAACCATTTCCTGAGTGTGCACTGCAACTCCAAGCCTGTTGCTTTAAATGCCTTTAACACGCCAGCAATTGCAGCTATAAAGTAGAACTTTAGAGCATAAGTCATATAATAAAACATATGTTCCAAGTATATAATGTGCAAGAGATGACATTAGCTGGGAAATTGTTTGTACGGCTATTTAAGAAGCAGAGAACCTTTACTACCCTGAAAGCTTTTAAATGTCTTGATAAAGTGTTTGCAAATGACAGTGAATCATTTGGTGAACATTACACATTGTTGCTTTGTGCTATTTCTATTTTTATCCTTGCCTCAACCAGCTTGCAACAAGAATCCACATATAGTCACCACTAAAGATTTGCTTATTTCAAACAAAATGTTGTATTTGATATTTTGAGTGCCATCATCATGATGGCAGGAGGAAGTCTTTCTAAGTCAAAGATTTTCTTGGTGCAGCCTATGATAATTTTGCTATTTGGAACCAAACATAATTTGGCTAAGAGAAAGATGTGTTGAATTGCTACACAAGGGCCATATGCAGCTTTGAGTTACGTGCATAGTGAGCAGATCGAAGCGCGATCGGATTGAGATCTAGTGAATTTGAAGTCAACACCTTGAACTCTTTGTCATGTTCTTCATGCCATTCCTGAACAATTTTTGCAGTGTGGCAGGGCGCATTATCCTGCTGAAAGAGGCCACAGCCACTATGAAGTACTTGGTCTGCAACAATGTTTAGGCAGGTGGCGCGTGTCAAAGTCACTTACGGGGCAGTGGTAGCTCAGTGGTTAAAATGTTAAACTTCTGATCAGAAAGTTGTGAGTTCAAATCCCAGCCCCTTCAGCAAGGTCCTTAACCTCAACTGCTGAGTTGTATTAAAAAAAGAGATAAATGTAAGTCCCTCCGGATAAGGGCGTCTGCCAAATGCCGTAAATGGAACATTAGGTTTACGTCTGCTCATGTGGCTGATGCTTAAGGGCAGTGGTAGCTCAGTGGTTAAGCTATTGGAGTACTGATTGGAAAGTGGTGACTTCAAATCCCCCCGCTGCTGCTGCTGGACCCTTGAGCAAGGCAGTTAACCCTCAGCTGCTCAGTTGTATAAATGAGATAAATGTAAGTTGCTCTGGATAAGGGCATCTGCCAAAATCTGTACATGAAAGCCAGGAATCCCAAGATTTCCTAGCAGAATATTGCCCAGACCATCACACTGCCTCTGCCAGCTTGCCTTCTTCCCATAGTGCATCCTCAATTTGTGGACCACAGTAGCTCTTCTGTGGGATCAGAACAGACAGGCTAGCCTTTGCGCCCCATGTGCATCAATGAGCCTTGGGCACCCATGACGACATTGCCAGTCATGAACACCCCACAAGACCTGCCATTTTGGAGATGCCCTGACCCAGTCATCTAGCCATCACAATTTGGCCCTTGTCAAAGTTGCTCAGATCCATACGCTTGCCCATTTTTCCTGCTTGCACCACATCAACCTTGAGAACTGACTGCTCACTTGCTACCTAATATATCCCACCCCTTGACAGGTGCCATTGTAATGAGATAATCAATGTACTATTTACTTCACCTGTCAGTGATTTTCATGTTATGGCTGAATTTTATACGGGCTTGGGACCGACACTGGGAGTGCTCTGTAGTGTGCTGGGGTCGGTTCCCTGGCTGGGAATCGAGCCCGGGCCATGGTGGTCTAACCACTAGTCCTCCAGGGACCCTGTCCTTCTCCTTATATACAAAGCCCTTAATGGGTTGGGACCAAGCTACATTGCTTACTCCCTTGTTATCTATGTGCCTTCAAGAACACTGAGATCACCTGAGATCTGAGATCCGAGATCATCTATTGCTGGTTTAATGGAGGTTTCCAGCAACAGCCAGAGGAAATTCAGGAATGTAGCTTTTGTCAATTATGCCCCAAACCTATGGAACACACTACCTATCGATATTAGGGAAGCCAGTTCACTAAAAGAAAGCTAAAAACTTATCTCTTCATTTTAGCCTTTAACTAGCTAACCTATTCACTGTTGCGCTCTTTTTAAAATTTTGTATTTTTAACTTTATTTTATTAAATTATTATTACTCAGTTATTTTCTGTCTCATGCTATGTATTCTATGTATTCTAATTTTATCTTTTTATTAATATTTGGTTTTATTTTCAATTTTATGTGACATTAATTATGGTATTTTATCTATTTTTATGTGAAGCACTCGGTGCATGTAATCCCTAATGTAAAGCACTGCATTTTTTTATATGAAAGGTGCTATACATATTACTATCTATCTATCTATCTATCTAGATAGATAGAGATATATAGGCAGTGGTCTAGATGCTATTGAAAAATCCCAATCTCAGTAACTTCTACTGCATTCTATGATATGATCAAGTGGATGCATAAAGGACATTTCCCTGTAAGATACAGACATATCTTATGAACACAACTGCCAGGTCTGAGTACAGCCCTCAGACCATTGAATGTATGCTTGATTGTGACTGTAATTCTCACAGAACAACACTCTTATCCTACTTTAAATACAGAAAAAGCCATAAATTATGTTGTCAGACATGTACCTGGGCAAGCAATATAACAGCCTGTGTTTTAGAGAGGTAGCTATTAGACCAACATTGCACAATTTATGGAAGAAAAAAGCAGTGTCAGAACTTTAAACCTTAGATAATTCTGACCTGCAGCTCTTCTGGTATTTCAGAGAACAATGAGTCATTGCCTGTATGAAGTCCTCATCTACTTAAGCCAGCTAATGGCACTTTAGAATTGTACTGACCGTGCCATGCACACATACCTGTGGGTCACATACATTGCAAAGCGTCACACACTTTTCACTTATGATTAACATGAGTAATTTGTGGCTCTGAAATAGCAGGCCTTGAGAACAATATACATTGGATGCCATTAGGAGTTGGAGTAGTCGCAGATGGAAAAGGTCATTTTTAATGAAACAAAAAATGGGAAACAGGAGACATTAACGGTAAATCATTAACATTTAAAATGTTAAATGAAAAAAGTGCTATTCATCCATCAAAATTATGAAGAAAGGTGAAAGGCTAAAAGTCAACACAGACTAGGAACCTAATTTGTGTTTCTAGTTGTTCTTTTAGCATAATACAACATTTTAAACAATATTTTTTTAAATATCAGTTGTGTATTTGAACATTATTTTGGAGTAATGAAATGTCTACAACGTGATTTGAACAGCAAAGAAGTGACATTGTTACTTTATTGCTTTAAAGCTAAACGAAAACACGGGCCTGGGTCCTACGTGGAAAACTTTCTGAAAAGAAAGCTTCTGTTATAGGATTCTACATAGAACCTTTATTTCACCAGATGGACAGATCAAGAATATAAGCAAGAGTTTTTAAAATATCTTTCCCTCAGAAGTATAAACTATAATTACTAATGTGCAATACATGGAAGACAGGGATGAACAGGTAAGCAGATATAATGCAAGCATTGTAGGAACTGGAGAACTGGAAATAAAGCTTTATTTCATATAAATTAAGTCTTACGAAAGCACAACATGCAAAATTTACATCTCAAGGACACTGCAATGGCCTTGTTTGCTAATTAGGAAGAAGGTATCAGCACTTTTGTGTATCATCGGCTACTTTCATCCAGCCTTGATTATAATATGTGATTTAAACCTATCAGTATTGTCAGAAAGCATTTATTTACTGCACAATCTCAGTGCCATTCATGTAACTTTACTCCCGTGATTATTTGAAAGTACTTTTTGGAGTTTTGTTTAACTAGGTAAAAGACAACTGGCCACAGTCAGCAACTGAAGAAATGTTCCATCTTGTATAAAGCTGTAAAAAAGTGGAATATTGTAAACATCTGTTTACAGTAATTCTAAATGACATTGTGCTGATGTCTTCAGAAAACTGGCAAATAAGCTACATGGGACATTGTTGAGATGCAGCGTTGGCAACACTGCCTACATGTGTGTGTGTTATCTGGGAAAACTTCTTTAATATTATCCGTTACTAACTTACAACTTAAAATCTACATAGAATTATTTTTAATGCGCATAATATGTAGAAATGAATATGCATTATGTGCAAACTGGAAATCCCCATCCCCATGCCCTCTTGCTATCTCAAATAACTAATGGAGTAGTTATCTGCTCTCAGACTATATATTGTTTCTCCCAGATACACAATTAGGATATCAATAACTGAGTCTCAATTTGCAAAGTGGTTTTCTCAGTGATTTATTTCAGACTAGCCAAAGCTTACAAAATATGCCTACAACCAAGATTGTATTTAGCGATAAGTTTAGCTACTGACGGGTGACAAAGAAAAATCCAGTGGTTCTGTTATACTGTGAATGACATTTTTGATGCATGGTTTGTGTCCAAATGTTCCCTTAGAGGGAAGCATAACTTCAATAAAGTTCTTTTGACTGACCACCTTTATCCTATGATAAAACATTTCTCTCCTGATGTCCCCATCCAAAGGGCCAAAGGGCATGAGGGCTCACTGAATGGTTTGATAAGTATGAAAACAATGTAAATCATATATGTGACGGCCTTCACAGTAACCAAGATCTCAGTCCAATTGTATACCTATGGAAGATTTTGGACCAGTGCATTAGATAGTGATCTCCACCACTAACATCAAAAATGAGGGAGTATCTTTTGGAAGAATGGTGTTCATCTCTCTAGTTCATGACTCTTGTAAAATATATGCCAAGACATACTGGCTTGTGGTGACTCAAGCTCTTACTAAGACCTTAATATCACTAATGCTAAATTAGTTAGCTAGCTAGTATTGCACAGACTCAGTGGATAACATTTTACTCCAATAATATGTTGATTTATTTATGTATTGGTATGGAAGATTCACAACCAAGAGGCTTGAGCTCAGAGATGACACACTGGGCTGAAACGTAATGCTCCTCAAGTTAGTTTTCGTATAAAAGCTCAAAGAATTTATTTTACGAAGAAAAATAAATGACCCAAAGATTTACCAATTAAAATGTTCAAGTACAGGGTAATTAATAATTAAAAATTAAGAAAATATAATACTGTTTTTGAGCTACTGTAGAGATAGTCCATTTATTTAAGCTTTTTCAGGAACAAAGTGTTGCAGTCAGTTATTGTAGGCAAATTTATCAAATCAAGGCAAAGTAAAGAACCAGAAAGATGGCAAGTTAATACTATTAACAAACACTGAACATGACAAGTTATTACTACTAAATGAACACAAAGAACACTTCATTATAGATGAAGGGAAAAACTAACCCAATGTTATCAAACCTTTTACAACTTCAGGAATGAAGTTGTTAGCAAAGCTGAAACCACTTCATGAAAGCAATTCATAATTTTTTAACAGGACTTTTATGTTTAATTCTTGCATTCGTTGTTCAGAAAATGTTGCTGCAAACAGGAAGAGAGAAGTAGGTGATGAGAGGGAGGAGCCAAGCTAAAGTAGACGTGGAGTCCTTACGGATGGAGAGTCTGTGACAATAACCTGTTACAACAACTCTTTTTTTTTTTTTTTTTTGTGAAATCAGTTTCACAGAAGTTAATATTAGTGCTGTGTTGCTCTCTCTCATTTTTTTTAATACAGTCACTGGACTCGGATTCATTGTGGCTACAAAGCTGTATACCTCACATTTCACCTTGCAAAGTAATTGCATTTTATAACTAACTTAGATAATGACTAAGCCATAATAAATTATAATAGCTAATGGAGTCATTTGGGGGGATGTAATGAAAAGGTTTACTCAGTCTGAGTCTGATGAGAACCCACAAAACTCAGTGCCCAATTTGTTGAGTTCACTGCCAAAAAATGGCATTCATTAAGATCAAGCTGTGAGGCA